ATCTCTATCTGGTGTCACATTAGCTTGACCGCGCAGTGCCCCAAATTTGCAGTAAGAGGACCGACCAAGCCTCTTCTTCCATCTCCCTGTTACAAAAATCAATGCCGTGTACACGACCACTGATAGGAGACGCGGAAGGCATTAAACTGATCAGAACAATACTAAACACAATTCATTCCCTTTTTGGTGAGGTATTTTACAGGACAGAGGCTTCCACGGACATGTTAACTCAATGCAGCAGCTGGCTTCATCAAGGAACCACAGCAGCTTCCATGTACAGGTAAGACACGTGCAGCCGGTAAGTGGTTCAGGCTCTCTTTCCTGGAGGATATTAAGTGCTGCAAGCCTGTTGAACGAGGTGACCTTGCTCGGGTCCCAGGTGTACGGTTCCGTGTATTTTCGCTACATACATCTTTCACCGATAGGAGACGCGAAGGTATTAAACTGATCAGAAAAATACTAAACACACCACTTCCTATCTGGTGGCACATTAGCTTGACCAAGAAAGGCCCCAAATTTGAATTAAGAGACCGACCAAGCATCTTCTTTCCATCTCCTGTTACAGAAATCACTGCCATATCCACAAATTGTACAGAATGTCCAGGATAGTTTTCCAGGGACAAAATGTTGTCGCCTGTTGAACGAGGTGACCTTGCTCGGGTCCCAGGTGTACGGTTCCTAAAATGGCTGCCATATACACGTCCACTGATAGGAGACGCGGAAGGTATTAAACTGATCAGAACAATACTAAACACACCACAAATAAGGTTTCTCTCCTGTATGGCTCCTCAAATGATGCTTAAGATTAGAAGCGGCTGAAAAGCATTTCTCACACTCCGAACAAAAATATATTTTTTTAACATTCTCTCCACTTTGAGCGAAATGACGTTTGGGAAGAGATTAACATAATTAAACACAGGCAGTAAAAATACAGTTTTTAGCCATACCCTGTAACTTTAAAACTACACATCCCATCTTCATAATTACATATTTGGAATCAGCACACTTAAAACATAAACATAACCAAAAATCAGCCAAATCCATCCAGGGGTTAAAAAGTTAGCTGGAGGTCCCTTTATGACCGACCGCAAGCACATTTTCCTGCCCAAAACAGTTCCATAGATTTGGGCTGTGAGGTCGGTCTATTTCAGGCTGAAAAAGCGACTAAGTCCCATCGCCGAATGGGACTTAGTCTCTGCAGCTGAAATAAGGCTGAAAAAAAGACTAAGTCCCATCGCCGAATGGGACTTAGTCTCTGCAGCTGAAATAAGGCTGAAAAAAACGGCTGAAAAAAAGACTAAGTCCCATCGCCGAATGGGACTTAGTCTCTGCAGCTGAAATAAGGCTGAAAAAAACGGCTGAAAAAAAGACTAAGTCCCATCGCCGAATGGGACTTAGTCTCTGCAGCTGAAATAATTTCCCATTTACTGAACCAAGTGGGAAATAGCAAGGCAGGCACAAAGGGTTTGCACCAGGTCTGGGGACACAGGGGACACCGTCTTAAAGGGGCCGTGTCCCCAACAAGTCTGGGGACACGGCCTTAAAGGAGCAGTGTCCCAATCTTCCTGATGTCCCAAAAAAGGTGTTTAAAGGGCCAGCACCAGTCACATAAAGAGTCCATAAGCCCCAATATGCCCACCGACAGTCTTAAAGGGCCATACACACCAAATAAAAGTGCATACATTTTCACAATCTCCCAGGGGCCATAGTCATGCGGGAGGAGGCTGGCAAGTAGGCTTCTCCACAACCCAGGGAAGCAGGGCAATTTGCCATTAAAGGGCCCGTTACAAATAGCAGTTTGTAACAAGGTGTCAATCCATATCTGCCAAGTGACCCGATGTAGGGGGACCAGTCCCTATTCTGCTCTGTGTCAGTGTGTACCAGGGAACCTTAGGACAGGTGTCAATCCATATCTGCCAAGTGACCCGATGTAGGGGGAACAGTCCCTATTCTGCTCTGTGTCAGTGTGTATCAGGGATCCTTAGGACAGGTGTCAATCCATATCTGCCAAGTGACCCTATGTAGGGGACCAGTCTCTATTCTGCTCTGTGTCCGTGTGCATCAGGGGCTCTGAGGACAGGTGTCAATCCATATGTCAAGGTGTCAATATGTCATATGTCAGGTGTCAATCCATATTGATTGTGATTTAGGAATGTTAGGTGATTTCTGCCCTTTATGGATTAAAACCAGACTCTGTATCAACTGTGTAATTTTCCATGGGAGTTTTGCCATGGATCCCCCTCCGGCATGCCACAGTCCAGGTGTTAGTCCCCTTGAAACAACTTTTCCATCCCTATTGTGGCCAGAAAGAGTCCCTGTGTGTTTTAAAATTCGCCTCCCCATTGAAGTCAATGGCGTTTCGGGCGGTTCGCCGGTTCGCGAACATTTGCGGAAGTTCGCGTTCGCCGTTCGCGAACCGAAAATTTCGGGTTCGCGACATCACTATTGGTCATAAGTGCTTTCATTTGAAGGTATGAAAAGATAAACTGTGAAGGAAGTTTGAATTCCACCTGAAGATCAGGGAAAAGCTTTAAGGCTTTTGTTTTTTATAGGTAGAAGATATGTGTAATTCCTCTTCAGCACCATTGTGCGTAGGGAAATGTGTAGTTGCAATCATATAAAATTTTGATAGGAGTCACCAGTGATCATGGGTGTGCCGAGCATAATTTTCCTCTATTTGTATCCCAGATACTAAGTAGAAGCCTGGTAGTGGGTAAGGTATCCGGGGATATTTTTCGTCTTTGCTGAGGCATCCATATTAAAAAAGGTAAGTCAAATGTTCCATTGTAGCTCTTCTCTATAGCTACCCATTGAGGGGTATGAATACTTGAAAGTGCAGTGTAACTATGTTAGATAAAATTGCCGAATGATAGTATAATTTCAGGTTTGGGAAACCCATACCTCCATCTTTTACTTGTCTAAGAATTAATTCTTTTGGAACTCGGGAATGTTTCCCACCCCAACTAAAGCGTCCCAATATCGCCTGCAAGGTTGATATATACACTTGCAGGATTTTAATTTGTAATGATCTAAATAAGTATAAGATTTTTGGTATAATAGACATTTTAATGTCTGCTATTTTTCCTACCTAAGAGAGGAACATGTTTCCCCACGATTTCAGTTGTTTTTCAATATCTTTAAGTAGTTTTGTGTAGTTTGAGGAACATAGTTCTTTCTTATTTTTAGTAAATCTGATTCCAAGGTACACCAGGTGGTCTTTTCTCCAATCAAAGCGAAATTC